AAGACAGGAATGGAAGTTCGTGCATGCAGTGCTATCCAAACTCAGCAGAATTCCCGCAAATATCCGTAGATTTCGTGAAGAATCGTCAAAAAAATTGACTGGGTTGTCAGATGATTGCTGGCCGGGTTTCGGAACTTTTTATTCACTTACTGTGATCACGACCATTTTCTGGAAAGCGCATTTGATGCCTCCCTCCGAAGATGAGTGAAATAACTCACCTGGAGAAAAGAGGTCTGGGTCTTTCGTGCTGTTCTCTCGCACTTTATAGGCCATGGTAACGAGCTACTCCACATGAAATTGGCCACTGTCTGCCTTTTCCTGGTGGAGCAGTTCTCAAAAATCTCCTCTTGCCAGTTTCAGAAAACTGAGAGCATGGTCTTCAGAGCGTGCAGCTCGTGCTTTGGGAGCTGGCTAGATTTCAGGCTGGTAGCGTGGTGTTCAAAGTGTCGCGTGGTGTTCATGATTACCACCGAAAATCGACTGGAGAAACTCCTGTATTTGTGACCAAAAGGAAACTTCCGCAGATAGTCATGTGTGTGCTGTGTCGTGGTCGTAAGATGTATGCGGTGTCCCAAAACTTTGTCCTGCTGCAGTTACTTAGCTGTCAAATCAGGGGAGCTTTCAACTTCCCATGGAACTTGAGCAACTGCAGTGTCACTATATAAGGCAGCTATCCCAATAGGATCAGCATTTTTAACGTTCTCTGAAACTTTGACTTTGAGGTAGGTAGGAGGCATGATCATGAGCATGACATTCATTTTTGACATAGCAGCTATCGGATGTCAGTTTGATGCCACAAGTTTCTTTTTTTACCACAGTTCTTGTTAATTTTAGGTGCTCACAACTTGGATGTACATACAATGCACGCAGCAGGTGTGCCTTCCCATTTACGACCAGTATTCTTGATACTATCAGTCTAGCAAGGGCTCCATCGTAAGATTTCCGAAGAAATTGCATGACTCTCCTGGTGAATGGTGCGAATTTCCTCACCGGTATGCCTGTCACAACTAACTGGTACCATTAGCCCGGTGACTACCAATGGCGATCTGCCAATTCATCGTGCGAGGGAAAGGATTTATCACAAAAAGTGAGTGGGAGCTCAGGATGAGGTAGTGCTCCAAAGCTCGTTTTTCCGATGCGATTGAGTCAGCACCTGTTGGGCACAGCACTGAGCTTTCCTGAGATGCAATACCCCAACATTTGTCAAATTTCGCTTTCCTTTCAACTTTGTTTGGCGGAGCTTTTATTTCAGTGGTTCATCCTTACTAAGGATCGCTGATTTCAGATGCCTGATCGTGTACTATGTTTTGACCCACGCTCTACTCTTCCAAGCGTCTCACCCCTGTCCCTACATCATCTCAGAATCCACTCAATTCTTTTTTATGTTCTAAAGATGATGTGCTTTGTGGAGTAGAGCATGAACCCACAGCTAGAAGAGAAACCTCTGAAGACGATTCAAATAAAAAGGTAGATCATTGAAATAAACGTTCCACTAATCAACTCGGAAGCACGAGAAATTTGACAAGCATACAACATGCCGAGGTTGAAATAGATGAAGAGTTGGAGATCTTTCCCTTTTTATAATGGTGAAACATAAAATTCGCGAGTATATGACGTACTTCCTATGTTCTATGTTTATGTTCCCAGTTAACCTCCCCTTCAAAAAGCGAGAAAGTGTCGGGTGCAGACCAAACACCACAACTGACGACGGCCTCCAAGTAAATCTGGTTAGAAGTTGTTCATAGTGATAGCTGATTTCTGGTAAATGATAGTTGTAATTAGTGACAATCGATAGAATACAACAAGGCTAATCATTTCATTGGCAGAAAACATTAACATTTTGTGAAGGCCGTCGTCACTTGTGGTGCATGGTCTGCACCCGACACTTTCTCGCTTTTTGAAGGGGAGGGTACTTACTCCGTTACGGTTTTGCCCTCGAAACTCTCCGGTTAAAGTTCCTAGATTGTCTTCAACGTAGCAACATATAGTACCGCCAAGAAAATTGCTTCAGGCATCTCTTGCCAGAGCTCATGCCTAACATGATACTTTGGCTGGTTATTATCATCATTTTTCATACTCTACCAAATCCTATGCGAGGTAGGTGGGAGATCAATTCCTGTCAATGAGGATGACTTTTTTTTGAAAATTCTTCCAATGTGGCAAATCATCGGGCCAGATTTCCTATTTTTTCGGTCTAAAGCTGTTTCCTGATTGTTCGTTTTCAGTATATCCCAGCAGGGAATCATATTTTTATTTCCTAATAATACGGTGTGGTTTTGCTGAAACAGTAGTAATTTTATATGTCAAATTTTTTCATGTTCGGGAAATGTTAGAAATGATAAAGTAACCGGATTAAAAAAAACTTTCCTAGAAGTTCAGTTCTGAAGAGGCTTGTACGCTTACAGATGGTCACACGTCAAAAAATTACAAAAATATCACGTTCGCATGAGCCAGTATGGCGAATCTCTGCGGTGATTTTTTTTTGATGGTACTGTATTTCGCGCAAGTACTATGTTGAACAGAAGAAATTTTAAACAGAATTTGAACAGAAGTAGGACAGAAATTAAATTTCTCGACTCTCATCAGTCAAGCTCTGTCAGTCACTATCTCTTATCAAGCTCTATCATAAATCTGCACTATTCCGACGTTATACCTGGACATTACTGTAACTACAGACATGAGTTAATAAGTAAAGGTGCTATACAAGTAGAGGTGGGCACGCCGCATTTTTTGAACAGAAATGTATGTAAGTGGGACTGCTGCCTACTATACTGTCACGAGAATCGGGGAATTCGTGAGCCAGGGGGAGTGTAGCCAATCTAGGGGGGGGGGGGAGGAGTGTAGCAATCTAGGGGGTGGGGGGGGGGGGGTGAGGGCAGTCACTTGACATGCGTGAGAACTTGGGCGTGCCCACCCTACTTGTATAGAGCCTAAGTAAATAATATAAATAAACCGGTGAATTAGGTCCTACTCTCCCTCATGTCAAACATAATTGCCAATTCCACATAACAAGACCGCTCCTCACAAGAAATCTAGTCCCCGAAAAACTATCGCGGAATACTTGACGCAGATTGATCCTGGTATTGGCCAATAAATGGCAATACAAACACAGCCAATAATTTGCCACTTTGTTTAGCTATAGGGTGAGAATGGACACTGATTCGAAATTTTGATCGTTGAGAGTCTAAAATGAAGGAAGGCCAACCAGATCTACAAATATCCCCTGAAACGGAGTACAGAACAAGGCGGTCAGTTGACCGAAAGATGGGTCCGACGAACGGCGAATATGAAAGGGGAAATCCCAAATGAACGGATTCGGGTGGTTATCATGTATGCCATCATGTTCTACGCCAATCATTGCCTCGGATACCATCAAATCCCGGTGATTTACGCGAAGAGACCTGTGTAAACATGCAAATAGAAACTTGAACAAGCACATAATAACGTAATTAATTTCGGGTGTAGACGAGTAAACTTCTGGTATTTGCTCAGCAAGAGCGCCACGTCACTTCAACTGCCTTATCCACTTTGTTATCTGCTAATATTGGGTTGATGCATAATTATTGCGGATTTTTCAATAAATTTTATTCAGAGAAAACGATGAAGATATTTTTAGAAACACGTGTAAATGATTATTCTGAAGCATAGACACAACCCTTAGAGAGCTCTTCGCTTGGCAATAGGTCGATTCCACGAATGGAGAAATCACGATCTTTGGAGACGATCCACGCTCCACCTTGGCCACCAAGTCACAAAGCTCGTCGTAAATTTTGTCTGTTTTTAACGACTGATTGAAGTGGCAGTCTGTAGGGGCTTTGGTCGGTAAATGTGACGTTTTGAACCTCTTGAACCATCTTTCAACTTGGCTTTGCTAATTGTTCCCTCGCCGAAAAGTTCGTTGAGATCGCGAAATGACTCTGCCGCC